GCAGGTGGATAGCCAGACATTTTCCACGTTGGCTCCAAGAGTGAGTGTTCTGGCAAAAAGGATAGAAGCTATGTGGCCTTCTAAGGCCTCAGCACAGAGGTCTCTTAGCATCATATCTGTCCTACCCTATTAGCTGAAGCAGTCACAAGCCCATTGAGATTTAAGACAAGTGGACATAGATGTCACCTCTTGATGAAGGAATGTCAAAGAATTTGCGTCCACATTTTAGAATCACCACAGTAGCCTTATCTGGGTGGGTCATATCTCTTCTGTGTGGCATCACTTGGAATTACACATACCTTTGTGGTCCCATGGCAGGTCACATGCCTGTGTGGTCCCATGGCAGATAAACTGGGGCCTGGCAGATCCCAAATGGTGATTGATGTAAACTGAGATAGTTCAGACTTCCTCAAGTGGCAACTGAACTCCAAAAAAGCAAGCCCCAATGTACAAACATTTCACAAGTTCCTGACTTCATCACATTTGCTGATGGCCCATTGGCCAAAGTAGGGCACATGGCCAACCCCAGAATCAGTGCGGAAGGGATCACACAAAAGCATGGACACCCGGGGGGCATGATTCACTGGAGGCCATTGGTGCGACAGTCTACCATACCTGGGCAGCTCCCATTTATCTTTAAAAGTTCAGTTCATGCCTGGCCTCCAAGAAGCCCTCTCTGACAGATTGGGTCATCACCTGTCTCTCCTCTGGACTCCCACAGTACCCTTTACACATCTCTACCTCTGTATCTACCCTCTTTTTTTCTAATTATGTATGTATCATTTCTGTTTCCCTCATTGGAACAAGCCTTTGAGGTTGTGTTCTATTGATCTTTGTATACCTAGAGTCTAGCCCCGTGCCTTGGAACATTATTGGTATCAATAATATCTTAATTATTTGATCAATTAAGCCATCCATGAATAAAGTTTTTAAAATAACTATCAAAGATTAAATTATCTCCATTGGTGTTTTCTCTCAACTTCTGCCCTGCATTCCAAGAGATAATGTTTAGTTTGTATTTGTCACATTCTCCAACCAAACATGCAGTTCTTCAGGGAGCTAACCTCACTCAGGAAGTTGACCTCGACTAGAGGTTAGGAGAAGTAGCAGAGTGTAGAACAGCGGTTCCAAGATTTTTTAATTTCATAGAATTAGTCACATTTCCAAAGAAGTGTGAGGGTTAACAGAAAGTTGCCAATTTTCTTTTTTTTTTTATAAAGCAGGACATTAAAAACATACATACACACATATCAATACCACCACCTCTTCAGAAAAGTGGAAAGGTATAATCTTAGAATGAAAGTATAGGAAAGGCAGGTATATAGTCGCAATTAGTCAAAGATTAGAGCTCAATATTATGGCTGCCTTGATATCAGGGAGACCTCAAATGGCCTAATTACAAGATCCCCTCCCTACTTTGCTGATGAGGTCCCCCAGCCAAACCACCTTCCTTATTGTGGGAGCCAGGCACAATTTCTGCTTATCCCTGAGTAGTGGGCTTCAGCACCGTGCCAGCCCACAGAATTACGCAAACAGCCAATCACATTCTCTTATAGGAAACGGGGGTATTCCACCGTTTTGACATTACAAAGCCTGCCTCCCACAGCTCCTGGTAATCCCTGAATGCAACTCCCATGTAGCAATCCATGGCATGCAGCGTTATCCTCCTGGGTATGAGCATATGTGACTAATAAACTGCTATTGATCTCATTCGTCCAGTGTTGAGGTCATGTTGTGATCCTCCTAACTTTAGGGGGTGGGAATCTCTCCCTCATCAATAGGGTGAAGAACATAAAATCAAAACAAGGTGATAACCTGACAGCTATGTTCAGAGTACCCCGGACTGTCCTCGTTTTACTTATTTCACCATGAACCAGGGAAATGAGTCTAGCAGAGATCTGAGGATCCACTCTGGGAGCACTGGAGAGCACTGTACACGGAGTCAGGAGACCTAAGATCTAATAGTCCAGACCATTCTTCAAAATATTTGTCTGACCTTGACAAATCATTACCTTTCTTGGGCCTCAAGTCCCAGCTATAAAATGGTGGGGCAAGCCAGGTGCAGTGGTTCCCGCCTGTAATCCCAGCATTTTGAGAGGCCAGGCGGGAGGATTTCTTGAGCCCAGGAGTTCAAGATCAGCTTGGGCAACATGGTGAGATCTCATCTCTTAAAAAAAAAAAAAAAAAAAAAAAAAAATTTAATTAGCTGGGCACAGTGTCAAGTGCCTATGGTCCCAGCTACTCAGGAGGCGGAGGCAGGAGGATCGCTTGAGCCCAGGAGGTCCAGGCTTCAGTGAGCAGTGATTGTACCACTGCAGTCCAGCCTGAGCAACAGAGTGAGACCCTGTCTCAAAAATAAAATAAAATAAAATGTAAAAGATGGGAAAGCGGCCGGGCGCGGTGGCTCAAGCCTGTAATCCCAGCACTTTGGGAGGCCGAGACGGGCGGATCACGAGGTCAGGAGTTCGAGACCATCCTGGCTAACACGGTGAAACCCCGTCTCTACTAAAAAATACAAAAAACTAGCCGGGCGAGGTGGCGGGCGCCTGTAGTCCCAGCTACTCGGGAGGCTGAGGCAGGAGAATGGCGTAAACCCGGGAGGCCGAGCTTGCAGTGAACTGAGATCCGGCCACTGCACTCCAGCCTGGGCGACATAGCGAGACTCTGTCTCAAAAAAAAAAAAAAAAAAGATGGGAAAGCTGTAGCCACCTCTGTGATTCTACAAAGACAATCTGATGAAATGAGTGAATGGCTGGCAGTCCTTAGGTCATGCTAAAGGGCTGTGTGTTTTTAGAAGACTTTTTATCCCCATGTGTTTCTCAGTGGAACAACAGCAGACGGTGGGAGAACAGAGATCTAAGAGACCAACAGGGCAGCCACAGTCTTCTGGCAGGAAGTCACACCTTAGCTGGATCCCTCTAAAGCCTTGCTGCTTTCAGCACTCCGATCCTATCCACAGTAAATGGAGTTTTAAAATCTCTTCCCTCCCTCCACCACTTTGTGGTCTATCCCCTGACCTCAGATGTCTCATCTGAGCCATTAATTCCATCCAATCAGAGATCTTGCTTTGGCAGACACAGAATTGCCACACCTTCTACAGTCTATACTTCCCCCCCCCCCCCGCTTACTGAAAGCAAGGTGCTTGGGGACCCAGAAATTAGGCCAGGTCCTCATAACCTTATCAAAATAGCACTGCTAGGCCTTCTACGCAGCAACACTCAGAGACAGGGCCAAAGAGTGGGAAACGGAGCATCCAGGGTCTCAGCCAGCAGAGCCCAGATGCCTTCTGCAGTTAAGATCCCTGGACTCAGAATCAGAAAGCTGTTAAGCAGGAAGGAACACACTGCCATGAAGAGATAGAAAGAAGCCAGAGCCAGCATGTCTGGAATGCATCAGGTAGATGAATGGGAAGATGGCTGGGATGGAGTTGGAGGGAGGAGGGAAGTCAGCAGCAAGGGGCAAGGACATCCATGGCCTTAAAAAGTACCCTACAAACAAGAAGCCAGGTTAGCTCGCCTATGAAGAGGGACAGTCTTACCAGATCATGTGTTAGAGTCCCCAGATCCTGGGGAGCATGAGAGAAGTGCAGACTCAGCTGGCTCTAGTACTAGATTAAGGAGGTCCTAGGTGGGCAAGGTGGGCTGCATTTTTCATAAAATGCCCTAGAAGCCTCTGCGGTTTACCAAAGTGAATAGCTCCTTTGGACTTAACAGTCTGCAAGGCTCATTCCAGTTAGAACGTTCCATCACCCTAAATGCTGGGAAACCAAGCGAATCTCCTCCCACTTGCAAGCTTCCAACAGTGGCTTCCAACAGTGCCACTGCAGTATCAGAAACTGCAGGGAAGGTGCCAGGGCTGACTTCCATGAAGAAATAGGAGAACAGGCAGGCAGACAGTGGAGAGGCAGGGCCAGCCCACAGAATGTCTCCACCAGAATTCATAGAGACCGGCAGGATACAAATCAACCAAATAAACGTTGGTTCAAAAAATTCACCACACCTGTGAGTGAGAGACAAGTCATCAGCACTGTCTACAAAAATGAACCTAGGGCTTCTGGTGACATCCAGTTGGTGGGTTATCAGGAGTGCCCCAGGTGATCAGAAGCTGGCTTCGACTGAGTCCTTTCTGCGGCGCTGTCTCCTCCTCTTTCCCAGAGTTCCTCTCCTCTCCCAGTGGGCAGGGATGAGCAAGAGGAATGGCTCACCCTTGAGAACTGGGGTTCCATAGCCCAGGTCAATTCTCCAGCTCTCCCACTTACCAGCCAAGACAGGAGGTGAGGATTGAGATGGGATGAACCCAGCAGGCGGCCGTGAGGTAAAGGTGGCCATGAATGTAATGTGCCCAGCACAGTGCCTGCTGAAAGGCAACCCTCCCTCGCTGGTCTGAAGACCAAACAAGCAGACTGTACTCAAGAAAGCCAGAAGAACCTTCCAGCTGTCTGGACCAGCAGGTGCCAGCCCAGGGGCTGAAGGAGACGTGATGCCCAGAGCAAAAAGGACCCGCAGGCCCCCTGAAGGGCTGGGTGTTCTGGAATAGATGAGGGGGCGAAATGGGGCTGGGGACCAGGGACGGACAGGGTGGGTCCAGGGCCTGCCTTGCTTCCAAAGGGCTGCTCCAACATTGAAAAACACCCAACCAGCTTCCTTTCAGAAAGACTGGAATATTCCAAAACTTCTCACTAGAGGCTCCGGAGGAGGTGGGCTCCAGCTGAAAAGGAAATGCAGAGGCGTGGGCGCTCCCGGCCTGCATCCTGCACCTCTTACACTGTGGCTTTCCCACAGACTTCTGAAGAATAGGTCAGAAGAAAAGGGTTAAAGCGTTAAAAGGGGAACAACCATTGCGGGGCTCAGAGAGGAGGCTAATGTTCTTTGGGCTGCCCCACCCTGATCTCCGGCCACAGGATGAGGGCCCCCTTCCGCCGCAACCTGCCACTCTCACACCAATACGGGACCGCCTTCTCTTCCTTCCCCACCCCCCCACCCCACCCTGCCATCCTTTTTCCCCCCATCTCCGCCTCTGATTGGCTGAGCCCCCGGCTCCCCGCTCCCCCTCTCCTCCATCCCCGATGAAAACTGCGGGCTCCGAGCTGGGTGCAGCAACCGGAGGCGGCGGCGCGTCTGGAGGAGGCTGCGGCAGCGGAAGACCCCAGTCCAGGTGGGAACTGGAGCCGGCGGGACCTGGGGCTCGGGGACTGCCGTCAAGCGCCCATGCAAGCCCTCCCAACACTAGGCTTCGGGCCACGGTCCGAGGGCGCCCAGGGAAGAGGGCGCAGAGCTTAGGGAGGGGCCTGCTTTCCAGGCAGGGGCGGAGTGAGATGCTACTGCAGGGCCGGGGCCCCGTCGCACGGCGACGTCTTTCGGGGAAGGCGCTCCCGGGCTTTCGCCCGCTGGGGGACGGGTGTCTGGGGCTGGGGCGCTGGAGAACAGGGAGGAAGGGCACCAAGGACAAACTGTTGGTCTGCGTTCCACCCAGAAGTCCCCAAACCCAGCTCGCAGAGGTGGGGAGGAGGACGGGTGAAACTGTGGGGAGAGGACGAAGGATGGCGAGTGGAGGGAATCTGCCCGGAGACCTCGCGGCGGGCTGGGTGCGGGGCACCGGAGGAGAAGGAAGCCGCAATGCCGCAGGCGGGGACTGGGTGGAAGGCGGGCGGACGGGGGAGGGGAGAACTGGAAAAGGATGAGAGAGGGGGAAGGGGGACTCAGCTGAGAAAGGAGAGGATTGGAATACGGAAATGGAATAAGGGTGAGGCCCGCCGGGGGCTTGAGAGGGAGGAAGAGCAGACCTTCTCCGGGTCTGGAGCCGCCTGAGGACACAAATCAGAGGAAATGAATACAGACTGAACCTCCCCAGCCGCTCTCCACCCCTCTCCTGGCTCTTCTACCCTCTCCAGCCCCAGACCCAATTCTTCCCTTTCTTGCTCTTGCCACTGTTCCCCCTTCCCCTCCTAGATCCCAGGCCCGCACATCATCTCAAACAAGAGTGCTCGAATCAAAAGCCAGATGCAGACCCCCCTTCCTCCTGGATCTGACTCAGGGCAGCAGCTCCACCCCGGGACAGAGAGAGCATTGATTGTAGCTGCAGCCGCCGCAGGATCCTAGCCTCACCCGTCAAGGGGCTGAGCGCCAGGGACCCTGAACTCGGCGAGTGGCGCACCCTGCGCACCCGGGCGCACTCTACCGAGGCAATGCCCTGCGCGCGCTCGCGGGTGCACGCCCCTTCTGTGGCCTCTCCTGGGCGAGCACTGCTCTGCGGACAGGCTGGGCTACCGGCTCCGCGTCGCCTCGCCTCGCCAAGGGTTGGTTCAGCCAAGGCTGCAAAAACAAAAAGACCAGACAGCCTAGCCAGGGTGGCTGTTAAAACTGGGCTGGAAAACTGCAGTCCCAGGAACTCCAGAGAGCTGGACATTGGGAAGCGTCCTTGACTCACATACAATTGGAGATCACTGTGGCTTTCTCTCCTCCGGGAACACGCTTAGCCTGTGCCCTATCCAGATAGGAATAGATGCTCCCTATCTGGGAGCATCCTTAGCCATGGTGGATGGTCTCTAGCCATCCACTGGGGACGGCGAATGACTTAGGGATTTGTGGCTCACTTATATGAAGCAGTCATCGCCAGATGTTGGTTGTTTTTCTTAACTCCCATCATAACCCGGTGGGTATGTAAGATTCAGAGAGATTCATTCATTCATTCACAATAAATATCTTTGGGGCCGGGCGCGGTGGCTCAAGCCTGTAATCCCAGCACTTTGGGAGGCCGAGACGGGCGGATCACGAGGTCAGGAGTTCGAGACCATCCTGGCTAACACGGTGAAACCCCGTCTCTACTAAAAAATACAAAAAACTAGCCGGGCGAGGTGGCGGGCGCCTGTAGTCCCGGCTACTCGGGAGGCTGAGGCAGGAGAATGGCGTAAAAACCCGGGAGGCAGAGCTTGCAGTGAGCTGAGATCCGGCCACTGCACTCCAGCCTGGGCGACACAGCGAGACTCCGTCTCAAAAAAAATAAAAAAGTAAAAAAATAAAAAAATAAATAAATATCTTTGGAGTGTATGCTATATGCCAGTAATCTGCAAATGGAAATGGTTTTGAGCATTGGGGATTTTCTTCTGAACAGGAAATGGGAAGTCCCTAAATGGGGAGTCTTTGTTTAACAGATCCAGAGTTTTAATTTGAAAGACAAAAAGAGTTCTGGAGATGGTTAAAATAGTAATTATTATGCTTTTTGTATTTTACCACGATTAAATTTTTTTTTTAAATAGGAAGCCCCAGCCCTCATAGGTCTTACATTACCATACACTGTGTTAATGTAAAAAGAGGAGAAAGAGTGGTAAAGTCACTTAAAGGCACCCAGCTGGTCAATGCTCCATGGCCAAGCACAGAAACACACCATGACAGGGCTTGTTCTCCCTCCTTACTTGCTTTCCCTGAGCAGGAAAGAGCCAGTGGCTGTATCATGTTCAATGAGAAGTAGGGACGAGAGGGGGGATGGAGAGAGGGACTTAGATGTCTGCCATAGCTATTATGTCATGTTCCCAGGGACCCCCAGCCCTGGCAGTAAGTGTGGCACACCTTGGCTGATTCCCATCCTGTTCCCAACCCAGATCCAGGACTGAGCTCCCAGAACCATGAACCCGGCCATCAGCATCGCTCTCCTGCTAACAGGTACCCGGCATGGGGCAGGGCTGGGGCTCCAGGCACCCTGGCTTCCTTCCCTCCAGAGAAGTGGCTTCTCCCTCACAGTCTCAGAAAAGCGCAGGTGACTGTTTTTCAGAGGGCTCTTTTCATCCCAAAGTCAGCCAACCCACCTCGCTGATACTCTGACAGCCTGAGGTGGTTTTTGGAAACACAGTTTGCTGAGCCCTCCCTCATATTGAACTAAAATCCCCAATTGAGAACCCAGAACCTGTATCAATTCCCCAAAATCTCCTGTCCTTGAAACACATTGATAGGATCCAAGGCTCAAGCAGACTTGGGAGGAAGGCTGGGGTCTGCAAAGGAGAAGTGGGATCCCTGGAGTGGGGAAAGGCACTCAGAGAGCAGACCCCAGTCCCCTCCCTAGCCAGGCCCATCTCTCCACTTCAGGTGGGTGGGAGGCCCCTACGCTGTAGGCCCCTCCAATTTGAAGGAGGCACTGCTGGTGCCAGTCTTGCAGGTCTCCCGAGGGCAGAAGGTGACCAGCCTAACGGCCTGCCTAGTGGACCAGAGCCTTCGTCTGGACTGCCGCCATGAGAATACCACCAGCTCACCCATCCAGTACGAGTTCAGCCTGACCCGTGAGACAAAGAAGCACGTGCTCTTTGGCACCGTGGGGGTGCCTGAGCACACATACCGCTCCCGAACCAACTTCACCAGCAAATACAACATGAAGGTCCTCTACTTATCCGCCTTCACCAGCAAGGATGAGGGGACCTACACGTGTGCACTCCACCACTCTGGCCATTCCCCGCCCATCTCCTCCCAGAACGTCACTGTGCTCAGAGGTGAGGCAAACTCCTAAAAAAGCCAAGTGAACTGGGAGAGCCAGGCTCGGGGACAGCAGGCAGTTTCCTTGGCTGGGCTGGAGAGGAGAATAGCCCCATAACTCTCTCACCCTCTCCCAACTGCTGCCTGGTCAACTGGGGAACCATTGCCTTCAGTGTGAATGGGGTGAAAAGCTCAGGGCCAGTCAGACAGGCAGAGTAGTGTGGTAGATGCTTCCACCAGAACTGCGGGCAAGGCCCTGGGCCTCCCTAATCTTCCCTCTCCCCAACGGGAAAACAGGGATGACACCACTTCCCTCAGCCAGTTTTCTTGTGATGATGTTTAGTAAGGTTTTCATAAGATGATATGTGTGCAAGAGGTAAGTAATTTACAAACGGGAAAGATGGCTGGTTCTGAGGCCAGGCTGCTCCTGGTCCCACCTAAGATGTCACGCTACCTGCCTCTCAAAGGGAGTATACCCTTGCTTTGGGCCTGTGCCTTACTGAGTCCTGATCCCTCTTCCTTCCTACCCCTCCCCCGGCCCTCTTCTCTTTCGGCAGACAAACTGGTCAAGTGTGAGGGCATCAGCCTGCTGGCTCAGAACACCTCGTGGCTGCTTCTGCTCCTGCTCTCCCTCTCCCTTCTCCAGGCCACGGATTTCATGTCCCTGTGACTGGTGGGGCCCATGGAGGAGATAGGAAGCCTCAAATTCCAGTGCAGAGATCCTACTTCTCTGAATCGGCTGACCCCCTCCCCACAGTCCCTCACACCTCGAGGAGAAGTGGGGACCCCATCCCTCATCAGGAGTCCCAGTGCTGCATGCGATTATCTACCCACATCCCCGCGGCACCTCACCCTCTCCACACACCTCTGGCTGTCTTTTTGTACTCTTTGTTCCAGAGCTGCTTCTGTCTGGTTTATTTAGGGTTTATCCTTCCTTTTCTTTGAGAGTTCGTGAAGAGGGAAGCCAGGATTGGGGACCTGATAGAGAGTGAGAGCATGTGAGGGGTAGTGGGATGGTGGGGTACCAGCCACTGGAGGGGTCATCCTTGCCCATTGGGACCAGAGACCTGGGAGAGACTTGCATGAGGAGTGGTTGGGCTGTGCCTGAACCTAGCACGGACACAGTCTGTCCTGAGAGCACTCCTCAGCAGGCATGGCTGGTGCCTGAAGACCCCAGATGTGAGGGCACCACCAAGAATTTGTGGCCTACCTTGTGAGGGAGAGAACTGAGCATCTCCAGCATTCTCAGCCACAACCAAAAAATAAAAAATAAAAACAGCCCTCCTTACCACTGTGCAAGTTCCCCAAGGGCTTTGGGGCATGAGCCGGTGAAGATGCAGGTTTGACCGGGAAAGCAGCGCTAGTGGAGGGTTGGAGGAGGAAGTAAAGGATGAGGGTTCATCATCCCTCCCTGCCTAAGGAAGCTAAAAGCATGGGCCTGCTGCCCCTCCCTGCCTCCACCCACAGTGGAGAGGGCTACAGAGGAGGACAAGACCCTCTCAGGCTGTCCCAAGCTCCCAAGAGCTTCCAGAGCTCTGACCCACAGCCTCCAAGTCAGGTGCGGTGGAGTCCCAGAGCTGCACAGAGTTTGGCCCAAGTTTCTAAGGGAGGTACTTCCTCCCCTCGCCCATCAGTGCCAGCCCCTGCTGGCTGGTGCCTGAGCCCCTCAGACAGCCCCCTGCCCCGCAGGCCTGCCTTCTCAGGGACCTCTGTGGGGCCCGAGGCAGGCCATGGAGTGAGACCCAGGAGCTGGACACTTCTCGGGAAATGGCTTTTCCCAACCCCCAGCCCCCGCCCGGTGGTTCTTCCTGTTCTGTGACTGTGCATAGTGCCACCACAGCTTATGGCATCTCATTGAGGAAAAAGAAAACTGCACAATAAAACCAAGCCTCTGGAATCTGTCCTCGTGTCCACCTGGCCTTTGCTCCTCCAGCAGTGCCTGCCTGCCCTGCTTCGCTGGGGCCTCCACAGGTGAGGCTGGGGGATGCCACCTCTTCCTCTTTCCTGACTTCTCCCCAACCACTTAGTAGCGACGCTGCCCCAGGGGCTAATGACTGCACACTGGGCTTATTTTCAGAATGACCCTAATGAGACACATTTGCCCAAATAAACAAACATCCCATGTCTGCTGACTCACCTGGCTAGAACAACACGCTTACCTGCCAACACATGGGCCGAACCACTTGGCCCTGGCTCTTGAATGCACAAGTGGCTTTGCGTGAACCTACGCTAAGTTACGCAGTCTGCTTTTAATTCTCAGCTCTGGTAGTTCTTCAGAAATGCCCCCTCCAGGCACATCCGCTACTGGGAGACGCCCATGTCCTCGAGGCATCGCTTCCTAAATCCAAAAGCATTGGCAGGAGAAAGGACTGGGGACAAATACTGTCCCTTTGGGAGTAGGGAGGGAACACTGAGCCCCATCCCTGGCTCCTCCCCTAAAAGTAGAGTAAAATGGGAGCGAGCATCCTGGGATTGGGGGCTAGAGGGGGACCGCAGGGCAACTGTGGGTTCCAGTTGCTTTCAGAGTTAGAGAGGCAGCCCCAAGCCAGCCTCCCTGCTTTGCCAGGGAATTTGGGGGAGGAAGGTGACAGCTGCCCAGAGGCTGACTCATCTGATAATTTAGCACTGGGTAGGATGATTATTTCTGAGCATTTTTCTTAAAGGCCTCAGATCTAAATTATGCCACCGGCTCCCACTCTTGCTACCTCCTGTCAACCTCTCTGCCTTGCCTTCCACCCCTGTAGTTACCATGCACAAAGAGAGGAGGAGGAGCTGTCCCTGTCCCAGGCTGGGAGGCTGACAGCCCCTTAGCAAGATGCTGCCAACCCAGAGTGCTCCAAAGGGAGGAACACCCCTGAGACACAGGCCCCTCTCCTTCAGCCCTGCTTGGGCTGCCAGCGCCGTGCCAAGGAAAGGCGTCTTGGTGAAAAGAGCTGCTGTGGGGGAAGGGAGATCAAATGCCAGAGAAATGTGGGGAGCACCACCCTCAGGGTAGTAAGAGTTAGAGTATGGAGGTGTTTCTGGAAGGAAATGAGTGGCACCATGTGAAGCCTCGCACCTGTGTGACTCCTCCTATGGGGTCTTTGTCACACTCTAGTACTGTGTCCCTGAAGAGTTTAGCAGCCACACTCTGAAGGGTGCTGGGAGATGGTATTACCCTCTGCAGCCATGTTTAGGGGAGCAGAACCTGAGGCCCACAGTGGGTGAGGTTAGCTCAAGAAGCCACAGAGGCCACCAGAGGGCCACGGACTTTAGGAAAGAAGAGAAGAACAGAGCATCAGGCCTCACAACACAAACCTACCCAGAGCTGCGCGCGGTGGCTCACGCCTGTAATCCCAGCACTTTTGGAGGAGGTGGATCGCTTGAGGTCAGAAGTTCCAGACTAGCTTCGAAACCCCATCTCTATCTCTACTAAAAATACAAAAATGCCAGGCATGGTGGCGTGCACCTGTAATCCCAGCTACTCAGGAGTCTAAGGCGGGAGAATCACTTGAACCCAGGAAGCGGAGGTTGCAGTAAGCCAAGGTTGTGCCACAGTACTCCAGCCTGGGTGACAGAGTGACACTCTGTGTCAAAAAAAAATAAAATAAAATAAACCTATCCAGAATGACCATGCCGAGGGCTGGCAGCCCGCAGACTTTCAGCCATAGTCCGCGACAGCCATGGGTCCCTCTGTGGTCAAGTCAGCAGGCCCTGTGGAGGTTGTGGGGTGTCTGTGGTAACTCAGGTAATTATAGAGGGCTGGGGCCAGCCCTGGTTCCTGTGCACATGCCCCAAACCCCTCCCCATCCACTCCCTCGCCAGTCCTCACCTCTTTCCTGGGTCCCCCTTCAGCACCTAAGTCTATACCTAGGGCTGTGGAATTCCCGCTCAAGAGCAACAGAAGCCCCTCTCTGCACCCCCATTTCTGGACTGGATTGTCCACTGAGAAGTGCAATGTCTGCACCTCTGACATCTAGAGGCTTCCTCGGGTAGGGCATGGGGATCTCCGTGAGATGTGGGGACTTTCACTGGCCAACAAAGAAATCTACACAGCATCCAGGGACCTGTGACACACATCCCTCCCGCCTCCTCAACCTGATGTCCCTCTCTGAATCTGCAGCTTTCGTGCTGTGAAGGTGTCTTTACATGTGAAAGAAATAAATCCCAAGTCAAGAGTAAATCACCTCATTCACTGGTGAGAAAATGTTGGAGCTGGAGTCCTTCAGAGAGTCCTGGCCAGGCAAGAGGGCCATCAGCTCGCTTCTGCTCAACGGGGGCTCTCAGCCTCAGGACACTCTCAGGCCTGGAATGTCCCCAACACACTCAAGGAGAAACATGTCCTATGCAGACCCATAGGAGGCATCTTTGCCCAGCACAAGGAAGAGCTGGGGTCAGTGGGACCTGTGGATGTAGACACACCATATGGAGGGTGGTGCAGGACCAATGTAGCAGCTCCATGGAGGCCAAGTGTGACTCTGCACCAGGAAGGGGCTGTGATGGCTGGAGGTGCCCAGCAGTGCAGGCGGGGAGTGCCTGGCAGCGGGCGTGGCCAGGTGGAGGCCACCTGCCAAGTGTGCAGTAAAGCAGTTTCCTGAATTTGGTGACAACATGGACTAGAGGACTCTAGTCTCTTCCCCCTTTAGGGCTTCACTTCAGTAAGTCTTAAAATTAGGGTGTGGTAGCTCACGCCTGTAATCCCAGCACTTTGGGAGGCCAAGGCAGGTGGATCACTTGAGGTCAAGAGTTTGAGACCATCCTGGCCAACATGGAGAAATCCTGTCTCTACTAAAAAATAAATAAATAAATAAACAAACAAACAAATATTAGCTAGGTGTGGTGGCACACGCCTGTAATCCCAGCTACTTGGGAGGCTAAGGCAGGAGAATCGCTTGACCCAGGAGGTAGAGGTTACAGTGGGCCACTACACTCCAGCCTGGGTGGCAGAGTGAGATTCAGTCTTAAAAAAAAAAGTATTAGAGCTTGGTGCGGTGGCAGGCACCTGTAATCTCAACTTCTTGAGAAGCTGAGCTGGGAGGCCCCCTTGAGCCCAGAAGTTTGAGGCCATCCTAAGCAACACTGCGAGACCTTGTCTCAAAAAAATAATAAAACAATAATTCTTAAAAACCAACAATAAGCTGGTTGGGCTGAAATCATGTATTTGTATAACAAACATTAAGCACCTAAATGCACCTGGCTCTGTGCTAAGCTATAAAAGACACAAGCCCCTGACTGAAGGGGTCCACAGCCCAACAAGATGGAGGAATCAATTTCAGTGCAGTGATCAGCAAGCACTATGAGGAAGGGAAGTTGTGGAAGACACCAGTGCGGGTGTCTTGCATTATCTTCTTACTTCTCAGCAATGGGACCCATAAACTAGAACTGAAACGTGTGATCCAGAAGAAAGACTCTATTTCCCAGTTCCACTGCAGTGAGATGGGCCTATGTGATTAAGTTCTGTCCAGTGGGATATAAGCGCAAAATAGTATGTGTAATTTCTATGAAGGGCTCTAGAAGAGAGAAAGTGTGCCTTTCTCCCCACTTTCGCCTTATGCTAGCTGGAATGTGGAGGTGATGGCTGGAACTGGAACCGCTATTTTGGACTAAGAGATAGATGGAATTTGTGTGTTGCAAATGACAAAGCACAAAATAGAAGCCTGAGTCCTTGGTGATGGTGGAGCTGTCAGGGCAGCCATGGACAACCTTTTTTAAGTGACTGTTATTTGGGCTTTTCTGCATTCATCATTAACTAAACCTAAAACTACCTTAAAAATAATCTGCAGGCCAGGCACAGTGGCTGACGCCTGTAATCTCAGCACTTTGGGAGGCTGAGGCCGGTGGATTGCTTGAGCCCAGGAGTTCAAAATCAGCCTGGGCAAGGTGGTAAAACCCCATCTCCACAAAAAAATACAAAAATTAGCTGGGCATGATGGCACCCGCCTGTAGTCCCAGCTACTTGGGTGGCTGAGGTGGGAGGATCAATTGAGCCTGGAAGGTTGAGGCTTCAGTGACCAAGATCATACCACCGCAACCCAGGGTGACAGAATGAGACCCTGTCTTCAAAAAACAAAAAAAGAAGCTGCTACTTAACACTGCTGAATTGTACACTTAACAATGGTTAAGATAGTAATTTATGACTTTTTAACCACAACTTTGTTTAAAAAGTCAAAGGTCAAATTAATAGAAACAGAAAATAGAATGGTGGTTGCCAGGGGCTGTGGGGAGAGGGAATGGGGAGTTATTGTTTAATGGGCACAGAGTTTTGGTTTTGCAAGATGAAAACAGTTCCGTGGATGGGTGGTGGGGATGGTAGCACGACAGTGTGAATGTACATAATGCCACTGAACCATACACTTTTTAAAAAATAGAGATGGGGTTTTACTATGTTGCCCAGGCTGGTTTCAAACTCCTGGGCTGAAGTGATCCTCCCCCTCAGCCTGCCAAAGTGCTGGGATTGCAGGTGTAAGCCACCACACCCAGCCTGAATCGTACACTTAAAGGTGACTGAGATGGTAAATTTTATATTCAGTGTATTTTATCACAATATTAAATAAATAGAATAAGCCAAGGTACCAGGAAACTCTTTATCAAAACTCATCAAACTGCGCACTTAAAATAGGTGAATTTCACTGAATATAAATTACACCTTATCAAAGTGCTATGGGAACACATATGTAGGGCCCTTTTGCCAGGCAAAAGTAGCTTCCCAGAGGAGAAGTCATGAGTAAGAGGGCAAAAAGCAGTCTCTACTATTTTGTAAACTAATTGCAAAAAAAGAAATTTTATGTTATTTCTTCTATACTCTGCAAAATCAGGGAAAAGGGAGAGGAAGCCATCGTGGGTTCAGTCTGAGGACAGGCCTTAGCCCCTCTCTAGGTTAATACACAACTGCTGGTGGATATAACAGCTCTTAGACTTCCCAG